AAAAACAAAAAAAAAAAAAAAAAAAAACCCAAACCAGCCAGATGTCATTGTTCTACTGTTTTCTAGGTTAATAATAGGACAAAGAATAAACTTCTCAAAATGGCCAATTGGTCCAAAGTGCCAATCCCATTTCGAATCTGCCATTTACTTACAGAACACTACATGCTTTTGCAGCTTTTCCCTACTTTCAGAATGCCTTTCTTCTTTTCAAGACCATCTTAAATCACCTTCTCTGCATGAAACACTTGCCCAAGCCCCCAACAGAACTACTCCTGTTCCCCTTCAGCACTTTCCAGTTGCTTTTTTGATATTATAAAAATGTGTAATATTACTTCATTACAGAAAGGAGTACAAAGTAGCAGCTAAAAGAGAAGCTTTGGCTAATTTGGGCCCAACATCCAATCTTACACCTAATGACTATGGCTTGAGGCAAGCTGAATACCTCCTTGAGGTCTCAGTTTTCTCATACAGATACTATTTAAATTTCCTCCAAGTACTCTTCAAAGAGCAGTAAGCACACATCACCTTAAAGCTAATAAACATCGGAGATGAAAAAGGCTGCAGTTCTGTAACTTGCCTGGAGGGGCAAGTGAGGACTGCCCCAAGTAAGACGATCTAAGATGATCCTCACAGAGAGGGAGAAAAGAGAAGCACCAGGAATGTCTTCCACACCTAGCCAACAACTACACTGGCAGAATCTGTCTCACGGAACTGTCTCCAAGGCTTACATCTTCTGAAGATGACTTCAGATTAAATGTGATGAACTTGTCCATTTCGGCCTTAGGCACTACTCCAACTCCCTGGAGCAGGTCCCTCTTCAGGTGTTTCTGGAACAGCCTACTGCTAAATACAAAGAGGACCCAATATAAAAACCAACTGCCAACCAGCTCTCCCAGTCATACACCAAACACTACCCCAACAGCAGAAACATCCAGACTCCCAGGACAGAATATGTTATGGAATAGCCATAAGCTAGGCCACAAATTATCAAATTATCTTTCCTCTGACTATATGGGATGACATTAAAAATCAGTGACAAGTAAAATGTGAACATGAACTCAACACATCAGAAAACTCAGCAAACCTTAAAGATGAGTGAAAATAAAACATGATATACCAAAATGTAAGGGGCATAGCAAGAATAATGTGCAGTGGGAGGGTTCACAGTTTAAATAAAATAAAATAAAATAAAATCATCACGTGTAAGAGGAAAAAATCAACTTCTATTCATTCCTTCGTGCTTTTTAGAGGTCTGTTTATTATTGGGGGACACATGCAGTGCTGGGTCTCAAACTCAACCAAATGGCTAGGGAGGTGCCTATTAACATAGCAAATTGGATGATGTTCGCCAGCCTCTCTCAGCATCACCAGTACCTGTTCAGAGCCATCCTGGCTGGCATACCTGCCCCTACCCTCAACTCTCCACCCCAGCGCTGGGCTGTCCTTCACCCAGCTTCTCTGATTCCTATATAACCCAGACATTTTGGCTATGGTGGTCGCTTAGCCACTTGGTCCAAGGTTCCTCTCTCAATCCCCTCCTCTCTTCCTTTCTAGCCCCTCCTACCCACAACCCGGTTCAGAGTGGACCCTTGCAAACGCCTCTGACTATGCTCTCCCCGATATCTACAATAGACCTTCTCCTCCACCATATTGATGAGCGCCACATCCTCATTCATTCTTTTCATTCATACACGTATACATTGAGGCCAGAAGGGAGTGTTGGATCCTCTGGGGCTAGTTATGTGTGGTTTATGGGTGCTGGGAACGGAACTGGGATCCTCTGCAACAACCGCCCCTTTTAAAATTTTTATTGCGTGTGTGAGTGTGTGTGTACACCACGGTGCATATGTGGAGTTCAGTGGCTAACTTGCAGGAGTCAGTTCTCCCTCTACCATATGGGTTCCAAATATGGAATCCAAGCGATCAGGCTTGACAGCCGGTCCTAGCAAAGCCACCTTAGGCCCCCTTTGTGCTTTTCTGCACTGGTTATTTGCAGCTTCAGGGGTAAAAAAAAAAAAAAAAGATACTAGAAAAAAATCTGACCTGTCATTTAGAAAAACTGAAAACTTTGTCAAATGAAGGAATTTCTATTTTAGTTTTATAGGTATACTTATATGTACCTTTTTTTCTTCTAAAAACCATTCTTAGGAGGCCTGGTTCTTAGAGTTTTCTGTTTTTGAGATAAGGTCTCACTAAGTAGCCCAGAATAACCTGCAATTTACAATCCTCTTGCCTCAGCCTCCCAAAAGCAGGTGTGCACCACAAGTCAGCCTCATATCACTTCTTGATTCCTTATGGCAAGTTATTATTTCTACTCCTAGGAAACGAAGCTTGGAGTTCAGAGTTCACTAAAAAAGAGACTAGGCTAGACATTAAAAACTTTTTATAGTAGGACTTTCCTACTATAGTGCTAAATGACAAAAGTAGACACTTACTCATATCCCTCAAATAAGAGGTGACTGACTTATAGACTATGAGAGAATACAAGCAAATAAAATTAATTTTTCAAACACTTCACTACTCTCTTCAACAGTAAAAAAGAGAGCTGAGGACGTAAGTAGCCAATCAAAACAGCGTGTGCTAAGAGTACCACTGCGTGTCGGACACTGCTGTAAACACTTGACAGAAAGCCCGGGTGGCGCTCCCCTCTAATCCTATCAAGAGAGGTCTCTGTCTCTATTTTACAGATGACCATGCTGAAGCACACCACCTGACTACTGAAAGCACAAGGACCTGCCAAGCCAGATTTCAAAACCAGGCAGTTTTGAAAAAGGTCAAGGAGTCAAAAGCTCTGTAACGAGCACTGGGGTTGGAAAGATGGCACAGCAGTTGGGAGGGTGTGCACTCTTCCAGGGGACTTGTTTGCTTCCCTCACCACTCCCTGCTAACGCCTGCTCTAGGAAATCACACTCACATATACACATACTACCCTCCCCTCACAACACACACACAATTTAAAAAATAACAAAATAAAACTTTTTAAAAACAAATAAATAAATAGGCTGGGCATAGGTGGTGGGCACATGCCTTTGATCACAGCAACTGGAAGCCCAAAAAAAATGTGTTTAATTGTAAAAACATAAACCAGAAAGAAGAAAGAGGGCAGTGGACACCAAGTCACAGTGCAGTATTTATGGAAAACGAAGATAGGAAGTGGCTGAGGTAAGTGCAATTATTTCAGAATCTTAAGAATGGATGAAATACTAAAGACTCCAATCACGGCATAATGGTAACTACTTTGGAATCTATTAATGGATAACTACAATAAACTGGTTATAAACTCCATTTAAAGTTGTCTTTGGGGATGGAAGGATGGATGACTCAGAAGTTAAGGGAGAACATGTTGCTCTTCCTGAGGACCTGAGTTCTGTTCCCAGCACCCCCATGGTGGCTCACAACCATACCGAACTCTAGATCTTGACTTCCAGGGAATCTGATGCCACCTTCTGACCTCCTCAGGCACAAGGCTATCATGGCATACTCACAGACATGTAGGCAAAAACACTCATACACATACATAAAAAATAAAATTTAAGTTGTCTTGACAAAAATTTTTACTTTTGACTTCCAGAACTTTATTAAGCGCTGTTTTAAAGAGATTCTAAATCACAAAGGCTAGGACATTTTTTTTTAATGATGGTGGTGGTGGTGTGTATGCATGCCAGTGTCTGTGCGAGGTTAAAGAACAAGTTTCTAGTCTTGGTTCTCCCACTGGGGTCCAGGACCCAACTCAGGTGGTCAGGTTTACAGGGAAAGTGCTCTTACCCGCTGGGCCAACTCTCTGGTTCTAACTTCTGTTTTTCTGTTCTGTCTGTTTGTTTAGTTGGTTTGGTTTGTTTGGGAGGGGATGTTTTTTAGCAAAAAGCACATACCAAAACTACCACCCAAAATAACTCCAACAAAAGCCATCCCAAAAAGGTTCTCTAAGCAGTCCTCTCCAATTTACCTACAATTTAGACCTTTTGTTATAAAATATCAATATGTAGCACTCACTCTAGACTGATTAGATGAGAGTCTCTAGAGACACCTGTGTGTGTAAGCTCCCTGAGTAATTTTACTTGTAGCCTCTGCTGAGAACCACTGTTACAAGGAAATCTAAGCCATCCATGTCATTACTTTTTCATACAGGTTCATTTTACTTCTCCAATTTTCATAAACCCAAGAAGACTTTCACTACTAAAAAGGGTATAAATTAAATATACTTAGCCCAACACAAAAGACTAAACTCAGGGCAAAAAGATTCCATTAATAATGTTTAGGGAGGAAGTCAATTGGCATATCAAATAAGGCAAAGACTAAGCTATTCCTGTTTTCCCAAACCCTAAATTTCAAAGTCTGTGAAATGGCACTACATTCTACAGTGCACTCAAGAGCTCAAGAATTCCAAGAAAGCCAAGCAGAAACAATTGTGAACTTTCAGACTGAAAG